ACGAAATCCCTTCAGATTCGCAAAATACGGCATTTGTTGATTGGATGCTTCTTACCTTTTGTCGCTCTCGTATTTGTAATATTAATATGTGGTGAAACCCTGATGCTGACTGATGGAATGTAGTTTTTTTCGTACTGTAAATTTTTGGATGTGCAACTTTAAAGAGTTCAGTTCTAGCTTCCTGGGTGGTCAAATGTGTGGGTAATTTGACCATAAAATTCATTGCCAGCCATTCAGACTGTGTTTGCTGTGTGAGAGGAGGTCAAAATCCACCTAAAGAGCACGATTTTACGCTCGAGACGCTTTTGAGACACGGAGTCCGTGAGGTATTGTATGGGCCACTGACACTGTGGATGCCGCAGAACAGTGTGACTCAAAGGCTGAGTCCTCAAAAAGGGTCTGACGCAATTGCTAACGTTATTACTTTGCAAGTATATTTGAATTAATAAAAAACCTGAGCACAAAACGCTTGCGCCTTTTAGCTCTGACGTAAGGTGCATTGCCTTGGTGAGTTTTCGGAGTCGGTGTCTTAGGTTTGTTGAGCAAAGTTGCCGTTTCTGCTAATTTCATGGAGTTAGAAAATGGTAACTTTTAACAAATAATATGAACATAAATAACTGATAACCAAGAATATGATAACAAATAAATGATAGCGATCATTTGGAGAACTATGATCCACCACCTACCACAGTACTCAACCGTTAGAAACGTGTGAAATCTAAGTAAATCGTATTTTTAGATGCATGCTGGACATTTCAAAATGATTGGATTTTGATCAGAAGACTCCTAAATCGATGTTGGGTTTTGGAGTGGCGTGAATTATGTCGATTCAGGCCCATCAACGCGGTCACCGCACACACGCACGCACCGCCCACCCCCTTCCATCAGTCATGCGGACGCGTCTGATCGTGCACGTCCGCCCGCCCCCGTGCACGCACTTCTCCTGGCCGTCACACCACCCGTCTAGCCATTCAGTCATTTGTATTGATTAACAACCCCCATTAGTCGGGGACGCCTTTTTATTTACAACACAACTAGGTTGAGTCCTCTAGTGAACGGCTGTCTACGCCGTCTCACGGTCCTCTTAGTCTCCAGCGCGGAGCAGAGTTGCGTGATCGGGCCAGTGCAACGTGGTGGCCTTCAAGTGGAACTTCTGTTGCCGAGATGCGTGCAGCACCGTTCTTTGACCAATTTTCGAATTTGAAATGCACTAGTTAGGTATCTAGAAGGCTCTTTTTTGCCTACGGGCTCTTGTAGCACTGTCAGACATTCTAAAACCGAAGTGACATGTCCATAAATAGGGTTGATCTCGTAAGGACAAGGTTCATGCATTATTAATTCTTATCCCCGACGTAAACTCCACATACCACTGGAATACTGACTTGTCTTGGAAAAATGGGGCTCTCAGACCTTCCTGTTGAGTGAGGAGAGAACCTATTTTAATGTTCGTGAGTTTCTTTCCTCATTCTGCCTTTAGTTGTGAAATGTATACGCTTAAAATTGACGCTCAAAACCAGCTCAAAGAAGTGCGTGAGCAAGTGACGCTTTTTCGCACATTTTGATGGATATAAAAGTCACTTGTTTGCTAATTGCAGTGCCAAGTGAGTCGCTTAAGCAACCAAAACGATTTTCGTGTCAGAAAGTTACTGCATCTCTGGAGCAAAATTTCGGTGTGGCTCTCGTGCTTCCTTTTACACTTCAGTAAATGGCAGAAACTTTCCGGAAATGTCTATCCAGAATTGCTATTGAAATTCAATTCCAATGCCTCATTGAATGCAAAGATTCTGGTGATAGTGTGATGGACTGTTGGGCTTCCATTACTTTACTTAACCAAGTAACAAATACACATCTTTACGTTATTTCACATGCCAGACGGTCAGTTCTGCATTTCTCGCTAAGGCGTCAACACTCCGAATGACTTAACTGATACAGGATTTAAACCCGCTGTGGTAACCATTAAGGGGGAGGAAATTCCCTTCGATATTTTCCAGTCATGTTTGAAGTACACGAGTACCGTTAGATTGGGCACCGTATTCTGTGTTATTACTCAGATTCAGGGGTATTATTTCACCCGGGTACTGCTCTCACTTAAGTGCTCTGGAACAGTAGCATTGCACACAGAAAATCACATTGAAATATATTCCCTTGTCTGAGCTCAACTAACTGCACGTGCCAGGGATGGTTGGTGAAATTTCGTATGGGCAGTTTCGGTTAAAGGATTGATCCAATTTCCGCAATCTAAAAATTTATCAAGTCAGCACTTGCCAAATTTTGAGAGCACCTGACTAAAATGGACAGCCCACATCATATACCTTCTCAAACTTAATTTCAAGTTTACCGGACGGGTTGAGTGAAGAAATGCTCAAAGTTTCGCTTGAAGCTATTGCCCCTTTGTTCGGTTGTAGCCTGTAAATGGTTAACGACTAATGCTGGTGACTATTTAGTCTCGTCCGCTAGTGTTAACAATCAGTAAATTTGTGTTTTACTAGGGGATTCTGTGTCACTGACCCCGAAAAAAACCGCTAAAGGGCTCAATGTGTTTTCGCTGTGACGCGAGCCTCACAAACTAGGAAGAACCTTATTTACATAACCACGAATTAGGAGGTTTCACTGATTTTTAAAATATGGAGGGGTTTTGCTTCACATCGACGCCAGACCATACGTTACACGAGGCAGTTGAAAGGCAGCTGCTGAGGTTTAGCGCTTTCGTCCTGCTGTGACCTCACATTATCTGATTTCTATCTTCTATCTTTTCAGAATTTTTTGATGAGGTAGATGACTACCTATTTCTACTGCCAAGCGTGATTGGCAAGTAACCTGGCTCAGTGCAAGTTTGGTAATTAATCAGTTATCAAAATTTTAGCCATTTCCTGAAAAAGGTTTACAGGTATTTCTACTGAAAATCTCTCTTAGCTCCAAGTAAATTTCGAACGATCACCAAATAGGTTAGACTGGAGTACATAGTGCAAAAATAAACCTTGAAAGCTACCTTTTTTCTGATCAAAAAAAGAAGTGGATGACTAAAGCAAACAAACATCTCACCACAAGGAGGCGCCGTGGTGGGTGTTTTCAAAGCCTTGTTCACTTTAAGGTGAGATGAAAGATAGCAGATGGAGAACACGAAGGGTGTAATTTAAAATATTTCACTTGGGTTCCCCTCTAATTAACTTGGATGGGAATTTGGAGTTTTGCCCAGACCATGATTACCTCGACGAACAATGATGTAGTTCTTGGGACTAGTTTAAGTTCACTTGATAGATGCAAACTTCTTCGTCACTTTGCGTTTAAGCCGCCTAGAAGATAAGAAATCCAAAGAAGACTAACGAAAAAATTTGTTGTTTGTGTAGCTTGTCCTGAAGACTTCAGCCAACAAAATGTAGTTAGGACACTTGAGAGGATGAATTTAGGATATTCAAATTACACTGAACGCCGGACAACTTGCTGCCACAGTCCCGAGTAAAACATAGGCTATAAATCGTCCAAATTATTATTTATAGCACAGGAAAGTTGCTGGACATTTTGGTTTGGCGTTATTTGAGTTCACTAGTGCTCCCAAACCCATGGAATGGTTAGCGTGGTGTCCTGTTAACACTAAGCTACGAGTGATTTTAAGATTTTTTTTATTAAAAAGCAAAGAAAGAATAAATTTTATTTATCCATTTAATTACTGAACATTAGCGTCAGGTTTGATGAAGCAAAACTAGTCAAAGTCATGGACATTACGTGACATGGAACGGTATACGATCCTGAAGGACAATATTCACTCCGGAAGCAACGTCTTCTGATTGAATCAGGCAGATATGTACTGCTAGTTAGTCGTGCTTAACAAAATAGCTAAATTTGAATAAGTTGAGAGTTGGACAAAAGAAAAGAGTTGTTTTCCACAAGGATAAATGGATATTTTACGTTTCTTTGTTAACCAGTAAAATTGCCTGATCATGGTTAGGGTGTTCCAGTTTAATCGCTACGATATACTCTCCGGTTTTCTAATTATTAAGTTCTACAGAGCTTAGATTTGCAAATTTGCTAGTTAAGAACGATTGCTTAAATGTTTCTAAATGCAGGAAATATGCGAGAGTAAAAAACAAAAGTGACTGTTGATTAAAACAAACAATTGTTAGTGTATTATTGGCCGTGGTGAAAATTGGCTGTAACTATTAGGAATTGAGTTACTGCTGAGGGATCCATGGTTTGGTTTAGTGCAGTTACTAAAGTGGCTTTTTGATAAAAGTCAAGATCACTCCGCTGGTCCCAGGATCCTGATCAAAAGTGTCCCCATCCATAAAAAGATATGGACCACTGTAGCTATCAGTAGTCAATATATCATGAAGGATAACAAAAGTCTGAACTACGGAGGATCTGGAAATCCTTTGGGCTATCTTAATTGTGTTCCTTTATTTGGCAAGAGTAACACTTAAGTTAGAATGCACACATTTGAAAATACTTGCTTAGTTTGTGGTTTAGCGCTAAGATAGACGAAACAGAACTAATAGGTTTAAAATACTTCATTAGAATGAACTAAACTACGGCAAAAAACAAGATTGTTTTCAACCAAAGCAGATACACCTAAACCTAAGTTGCCGTTGATAATGCTGAGAGTGCGTTAAAATGTAGAAAAAGTAGTCAATGTGCGTGCATTGTGCGTCGACATGTTCACCTGCTTTTAATGTTCATTTTTAATACATTCAAACCTTGTGAGATATTTCACTTTTTGTACAGGTCTCATGATTTGTCATGCTTAGTGTTCTCTGAAGTCACTTTGCCTGTAAGTGAGAGGGAAATAACCACTTTTTCATTTGATGTTGTCGTCTCGATTTTTAAAGTGCAAATCATGTTTAATCAGGCTTACAAGTCAAAACTGGTTCATCATAGGAGTAAATTGCCACTTCTTAGAAGCAAATATTAAATGCCTGCATCAGATAAACCGTTTATAAAAGGCTCCGCATTTACTCTATTATGAGGACTCTAAAAGGTGGAAATCACGCATGCACGAACTAACTTTAGAACTTCTGACTACACTTCAAGTCACCTGTAAAGAAAACCGGGCGATTTTTCTGGAAACTTGGGATCCCAGTTGACCAAGCGACCTCATTAATCAGCAGCGTGAAAGCCTCTCCCTGTTCACTGCCCGCCGACCCACTCCGCTGTCCGCGTTGAGGTCGCTTCATCGTAGGGAGGCGCGCACGCGTAGGCGACAACGGGGTAGTGGATGTGATGGAATGGTTTCCCAGACTTCGAGAAAGCCACCTGCCGAAGTGTGAGGTGTCCCTGTTTTGCGCAGACGGAGCTTCGATCGAACTCTTGAAGGAGCACCGATAAAGAATGTTGACTGAGAACTTGCTACCGGTCGGAGTGGAACAGTCGTCAAAAGCCTGTTTATTGTAGGTCTGAAGCAATAAACAAAGGGTGACTGATAACAGATGCAGTGTCAACAATACTCCGAACAAGTACGCGCAGACATATTGGTTGCTGCTGATAAGAAAAAAAAGGAAGGGATTTTTGAGTTCGTAAACGACTACTAAGTCACACACTGTCGTATTTTAGTTGCATGTCAACCGATTTTATGAAATTTTTCGGACTTGAAATTTAGGGGTCGCTTGGAGACAGTATCTTGTGCTAGCAGTTGCACGGCTGAGACCACTTAACTTAAAATTTCACAATTTGGGGGGTGGTCTCTTATGTCGCAGGTGTTTCCGGAAATTAGGCAAAGAACTGGAATTGGCTCCGTTAGACGATTACACAAGTTTCTCCAAATCATTTCGAAGGTAATATGCCTACTCGAGTTCCTGATAATGATGCCTAACCATTCCATTTAAAGACAAGAAAGTATCTAAAAATACCCTAACGACTTTTGCTGCATTTATTACATTCACTTAGAGATTGGTGCAAACACAATGTAACTCTGTCTGTGAACACGTGCAAATTTAACGTGCCACTTAGCGTTGTGGAAATCGCAGCCTTCCAAGCCTACTTGGCTTTGGTATGGTTTATTTCATTGGATAGTTCCCTTTACCACTTGAAATAAAACCGAATTTCTGTTTCTGTAAGTAAATTTTGATGGCTTGCTTCAACCTGAATGTTTTTGGTGGTGTTTTTTTTGCATTTTAGAGCAACTTGTTTGGTCAATGGAGGTCATGCAGTTTGTGCCTATTTTTGAGGCAAGTTTGTAAGTTTGGCACTTATTTGGTGAATTCAAACCGAAATAGACAAAGTGAATTTGAGTCATCTTTATCGATTATTTTTCATTTTGCCGGGAAGTTACCCCATGTTGCCCATTGACACGTTTGTTGGTTTCGTTCATCACGGAGCTACAGAGCCTCTTGAGGATTTTGAGCATTTTTGCACTGTCATTTTCTAAATTCATGTGGGACAAATTTACCTACGAATTTACCAGAGACGCTTCAAATTAACTGAGAATCACCAAACGTTCTGCTCACATTTTTTTTCAAGTGTAAAAGCCACAATTTTTTTTCTTATTTGTTGTCTATTTCAATATGTGATCTTTAGTCTGCATCATCTCAATCATCACATTAAACAGGCGAATCCACCAGCTTTCAACACTCATCATTCGTGTTAATGATGCTAAGGAGGAGGCTGAACATCCAGCAAGTTTCGCGGTTCCCAAAAATTACGTACCCACTGTAGAAAAGTAAGAAAAGCTTATTAAAATATCCCATTCGTTCTAGGCTGTCACATAATAGACTGTTCCTTGCCCACATCGGTGGTATCATCTAAGATTCACTACCGTACAATTAATGCAAACGGAATTAAGCATATTTATGCTGCGGACTTTATTTGAACACCAATAACCTTCATTGGTTGAGTAGAGCTCTCAAAAAAGCCTGAGAATAAAGTTGTTCTATACAATAGTAAGGACTTTTCCTGATTTATCAATTAGGAGTCATTGTCAAGGGAGTCCTACCCTTTTGCCTTTTATTTGTCTGCATATTGTTACGTGTCTAAATTTGCATAAAATAACGCATCCTACTGTACCGTGAGCAGGAGCGATTGACTTTTAATCACATATTTACTGCCTTATAATGTCTAAGTCAAAATTGTGAGAACCTGTAATGTTGGTCACACTTATTTGGACAAACAATTAGCAGCTCGAGCTAAAAATTTGGAAAACCAAAAAAAAACATTCTTACTCGTGCACACAAGGGACAGCGGCATGAAAGAATCTGACTTTTTGTCAGGCCACTCACTTACCCAGAGAATGAAATATTCGTCCTTGGGGCAGACAAAAATCACACTATCCCGCGGTTCCACATGGAGTACCGCTGCAGGTTTCACTCTGAAACTAAAACCGGAAATGGTGATGGCAACTCCCTGCAGCTAAATTAACTAAGACTATTATCCGTTCTAGAATAAAACACCTAAATTGATTTCCGCAGAGATCATTTTTTGACAGTCAACACATCCAATTAAAAACTCGCGTTTTCGCTCAAGCTGTCGAATGGGGTGACAGCTATTGGCATTATTTTAGGTTTTTCAATAAATAAAAAGGGACAATTCAACTTGTGTCGGAACTATGTTTGTAAATAAAAATTGCTCTTTTTACGTTTTCAGAATAGGCAAACAAGTTTACGCTCATAATGGAAAGTGTAACTGCCTATTCAGCAAAATTAAGTAGAAGGCACCCATGCATTTGACTTGAAAATGCTAAAGTTTTTGGCATCAGGAATAAAACTGTTTACATCAACAATAAATGTTTTGTCTGCAATTTAGCAATTTTAATTCAGACTGTGTTGGTTGGTCCTATTCTAAGTTGGTAAAACATTTTCTCTAATTATTGGACTAGATTTTCTATCAGGTTCCCCTAACTGATCGACCGGTATAAGATCTTTCATTCTCTCCTCTTACTGGCTTATTACCGTGAAAAAGCTTTTGATTTACCCTTTTTTTGTGAAAAACTTTGCCAATCCCTACAAAAACCCTGCACCTACACCTTGGAAGCTTTATCAAAAACTTTGAACTGAATAGACTTATTATAAAACCACTTTAGATTTCATGTAGACACTTTCCTTTAATGCTCCAATAACAATACTCAGATGTGTAAATTAAAAAAAAAACACTGGCTTCACTTTTTCAACAAATTTTGATAAAATATTTAGCATCAATCCAAAAAAAATTTTTCTGATACTGTTGCCTTCCATGATCATTTTTTAGAAAGGACTTATTCAAGTTTTTTTAGAAAATATTTTGCAAGTGGTTATGCATGATTCACTTGCACAACAATATACCAAGAAAACGGAATTGCCAAAGTGAAAAATGAGTAACATTTACGATACTTGCTAAAATGTTACCATGTAGCTTGTCAGTAACTCCTTTGCATGACTAAATCTAGTTATAATCTGAAGAAGCCTTCTACTTTATTTTGTGTCAACAGCGTGGCCTTTAAAAGTATTAAAGTCATTACTTTTTAACCTGGCTTCCAAGTGTTTACCAAATGTTGAAAGTAACATGACGACCAAGTTAACTGGACACAGTGATACGAGGTTTTAAACGAATGGAGTAGACGCCTCCGCGTGAGACTTAAATCCGTGCCTAGGTTTAATTCTCCACATTAAATCAACATTCTCTACAAACGGCAAAAGATTGTGAAGGTAGTGAGCACTCGATCGGTCTAGCAATCAATAATTAAATTTCCGTGCTATCAAAGGGTATAACAATGCGTAGTTAAATGAGCGAAATCTGTTTTTACCTATCTCTATTAATGCATATGTATTAACTGCTTGTAGTCGACAAGACCACTTGTATTTATGTGCTTTTTATGTATTTCACTTGGGCACAAGAAAGACTTAAAATATTTTTTTAAAAAAAAAGATGCAAAACCTTCGAATGTGCTTTTTATGCTACAAAAAGTGCGTCGCCTGGTCGAAGCCAAGCTTTGCGATTCACTCTATTTTTTCGCTACAAGTAAATACCATGCCCCAACCAGCTACCATGCCTAAAACGACTAGCTTTAAGTGCTAGTTACGATAATTGCCTTGTGATCAGCAGCAAGAAAAAAATCCGACATATTATCCCATTGTATCCATTGTCATTTCTGTAAGGCGGCTCTTTCATTAGAAAGGAATCATTAAATGGTAGTCTGATTTTTATCTCGTAGATAGGGGGACCAGGAGTGGCGACTTGCAGTGGGCCTCCTGTTTCATTCACAGGCCGATCTTCATGCAGACAAGCTCGTGGTTGACTCGGTGGTACCAGATTTTATTTGAGGCGGCAAACACCACTTGAGTTTTTGAACTGACGCTGCAGTATTAACCCACTGAACTCAAGAACTGGGAGAGATGCAGAGCCCTGTTGATTAACTACCTTCATGCACGCAATAGGGCTGTTTTAGGCATGCACGAAAACGCGTTTTTGTACCAGCCGACGTATCGCAGTGTCCTCTCGCTGACTAACATGCTAAAAGAAACTGTGGTTTTATTGACACATGCGATTCGAGTCCCAGGCAAAAAAGGCAAAATGAACTCCGCCTATTTTGTTGAAGTCTTTTCCGAACATTAAATTTTGCATAATAATGCAGGCTTGAAGTGGAGTGGATTTTGTTACGAATTGGAATTTGTCAGAATGGTCCATGATGTGCACAGGGAGTTTACGTAAAAAATGCACAGGCTAAAATATGTAGGATTTATACCATCTAGCTGGTTGTGCTGCTAGTGAAACAACATTCTTTGGGTTACATCTTTAATTAATTCTCTTTAAGAAAATGAAATCTTATGACACAGATTACTTGCACTTTACACGTTTCAGATAAGAAAACATTTCAAACGAGGCCAAATTTGCAAATTGCGCATTCATGGACATCGATCAAGTAAGCACGGAATTTGCTTGTACTAGGGGGTATGTCAACCATATCCAACAATTTCAAAAATATCCGATGTTACTAGTTGTCGTACGTCCTATTTCTTCTTCGGCTTAAGTACTTTAGTTAATACTGCTCACTTTATTGGCATCTTTATTTTTTTGTCATGTAACATTAAAAAACCAAGTGAAAATTGTTGTAAATTTGTGAAGACGGCATTCTTCGAGTGAAAGATTAGTGAAAATAAATCATTCGTTTGGATCAAGTCGATATTGACGTTTGGGTTCCTGCTTCGGTAAGCACCGCTGATAATTCGATGGTAAACAGTTCTGACGCCAAATACACAAAACCCCGGAAACTGATCAAAATGTACCCTCACTTACGTGGAATTATCGATTTGCTGTTCTATTTCTCTCATTTTATTCACACGCATCAGTTAGTGATTTAAAATAGCTGAAGATTGATATTATTTTAGCCCGGCATCATTGTGTGTTCAAAAAGGTCTGACTGATGCACAAACGTCTCGTGCGACGTTATTGGCACACATTATTTATTTTGCACTCAGGAAGGCAGAAATTGGAGTCATTGGTATTGAAAATAGGCATTTAGAATCGGAGTTTTAGCAGAATCTGACAAATAAGCCACATATGCTGATTCAAGTTCCATAAATGGAATAATGTATGCAACTCCGGTGGATCTGAATGAATGTCGCGTGCCCTATAATAGCATTACTGTAGGATTTTTTACTCCATGTATTTGGATCTACTCATGACCACAGCTTTCTTGGTTTCCGAATTTTAGCGTCTATTTATCTGACCGCGTATCCCACTTAACCCGAAAATTTATTTTCAAAATAACTTAGTTATGAAACTAAATAAATAGCTATACGCACAAATTTATATCAAAGGCAGGTGTACGTGCATGGCTCACGTATTGTCTAATTAAGTGATTGTTTTAGTCGTTGTGGCTGAAAGCAGGAAATGCAGAGTTGCTCTTTAGCATTTTAAAGGGAAAAGTTAAACGTTTCGCAAACGACATTATGCGTCTCTGCCTTAATTTAATACGATTAAGCAACGCTATCAGCTGTTGTGTCAAATAAGTGACAATTCCTGCGTTTTTAATAATTTTTATGCAATGACACCCATACTTCAGCCGACTTATAACACCTCAGTCACAATTCTTGCGGGAAAGGCCTTACATTTGGTTAAGGTGCTGCTTTCATATAGTTACTCAAAGCTACAAACTTATGTGGATCGGAACAAACAAAATTATTTCCCTTTGTAAATATAACTAGCTTGTCTCTGTATGACGTTTTTGCCACGAGAAATCCCTAATTAATCAGCTAAGATTCTACTGTTTCTAAATGCACAACGTCCACGCGTTATTTTACTTTAGACTCTTCCATCTGAAGAATTCACCCTCAATGGCATTACCACTCCAAACGCTCTGGGACTACTTCTCATGGATGTCCATTTAGCATAGTAAACAGTTTTCGCTGTTAATAGCACATCGGATGTGAGGAAAAA